CCCTCCCTCCCTCCCTCCCTCCCCACCTACCTACCTACCTACCTACCTACCTACCTACCTACCTACCGACCCTATATGTATGTATACATATATATATATATATACCATGTTAACTGGAATATGCGATTTGCTCATGTACAAGATGTTGTCTGCAGTCCGCCATGCAGGCTCTACAGCAGCGAACGGATGGGAGATGTGAATCTGTCGAGTCGACGTGGGAGGTGAGGTTTCTTGAGTTCATTGTCATGGTTTGGGTCATCCTCGAAGTAGCAGTCCCAATATATTTGGGAAATACCGGGGCACGAGGGCTTCTGGTAAGGAGGAGCTATCTAGTGCGATTCTCATGGATGATCGCAGGACTTTCGCAAAGGTATTCTCGAGCGCCTCGATTCCAACGAGCTCACCACGGAGGCTGTTGAACCTGCTTTCACAGCGGCGGCGGATCTGTGTCCTGCGAGACGAGGATCTGTCACAGCGGCTGCAGATCTCGGAGGAGTGGGGCCTTGTCACTTACGACGGAGGAAGTCATATTATATTATATTATACGATGCAGGTGTTTTGCAGTATTGCTGATTCTCTAAGACAACACAATGACGACTTGTGGCGATGAGTCTGATTGTTGATGCAAGCCGTGTCATTGGCATGTCTTGGCATATGTCTTGACTAGTTTGGCTACTGGTCATGGCTTGATTCTGCGCTGGCTTTGAGTACTTTGACTGACAAATCAGCAAGAGTCCTGTGCCCTGCGTTGCCGCTCAAAGAGAAAACAATCTCACGCCCGTAGGTAGGTCCAAGGCTTCTTGCCTGAGAGCTCGTTTGCAATGTTGCGCTTTGCGCTACGCGCTGCCACCATCACCGTGAGGAAGCTGAAGCCTCCTTTCAATCGCATGCAGACGAGAGCAGCAGGGGCAGGGTATGCCCTCGAGGTCAGTAAGCCGGAAGTTGAAGGTTTGCTGCTGAAGCCTGACGCTGAGTTGGCAGAGCAAGTCTGCCAGAATCAGCATGCCATGCATTTTCTTACGGTGCTGAAGATCATCGGCACAGTGCATAATCGCTTGAGCTCTATTCGCTACATTATGGGTGATCAACTGCATTCCTTTAGCATGGAAGCTGCCGTCGAGTCTGCAGAGGCAGCTGCTGAGCAGGCAGAAGACAAGGGCCTTTTGCAAGTAAATGCGGTTTCAGAGCTGAGGCCAATGCGTGAACAGCTGATGTCGCTTCTGAATCAGATCGATCGTGAGATCAAGCAAGGGAAAGAGTCCAGCTCGGATTACGCCGCCAAGCAAGTGGAAGAAATCGTGGTGCCAATTCTGGAGATGTTCAAACCTCTGGGTATGCCCGATAAACAGCAGATCAATGTGGCATACAGGCAGGCTGAAGCTCTGTTCAAAGAAGTGGTCACCAAGTGCTTCTCGGAGTTGAAACAGAAGGCCTACAACGACAGAATCCTCAAAGCACAGCAGCTTCTGTCTGATGCCATGCTTACAAGTGAAGTTAAAGAACAACATGTGAAAGACGTGCGTGAAAGGCTGCACAAAGCCGAAGCAGATGTACGTGCCATGGAGGGGAAGGAAGTTCGTCTCCTCAGCGCAGAACAACAAGATGAAGACCTGATCAGGGTTGCCAAGCGGGAGCTTGAGGAGATTAACACGCGCTTACGCCAGTATACGTGGAACAAATGGGGCCCATTCGTGGAGATGTGGCAAAGAGATGTGGAGCTCGCCGAGATGGAACAGTCTGAGAAGTTGAAAGAGATTGCGAAGCTAGAAGAGAAGCAGCAAGGCCACAAAAGTCAAAGCGATGACTTCGCTGAGATCGGCGGTAAGAAGGCACAGATAATTGCAAGGCAGAAGGTCATACAAGATGAGTTGCAGACGGCCGAGAAGTCTGCAGAGAATGCAAGAGAGAAAGTCAAGAGCGCAGAAGCGGCACTGAGCAAAATCTGGTCCGAAATTGGGGAGGAGCTCAAGAAGGCTGGCGTCATGGATCCCAAGCACGCCATGATGGTGAAGTTCATGGCTGCAACGTTGCAAGCGGACTTGAAAGTTGCAAGAAGCATGGAGCGTCTGAGCTCCCCGGTGTTCAAAGGCCTTGTGCTGCAACTGGGCGTCCTGATTCAGGACGTGAGTGCCGCGAAAACGGTGAAGGATCAGGCAGACGCAATTCGCAACCTCCTCAACGACATCGAAACAGATGAGGAAGTCACCACACAGACGCCCGGCTGGGTGGTTGCAGTGAGACTCAACGAGCGCATCTGCTTCCACAAGCTGACCAGGCTGGTCACCTCTGCTTCGGCAGCAAGTGCAACAGATGTGGCACCGTTTCTTCAAGAAATGGAAGAGCGTGCTCAGAAGCAGCTTCAGGAGTGAACAGAGCTAGAGTATGACAACTAGTGTATCTTACATAGTTTAAAGGAGATATACTTACATGAAAATACATGTATGCGTTTGATACCGTACATGAACAAGAACCTCTAGACCTATCTGCGGCTGAGCTGCCTGGATGTGGTACGTCCGATGCGGCTGGCAACGCCGGAAGTTTTGACTGCAGACTTGATGCTTGAGTGTTTAGGGTTCAGGCTTTTTTGGGTTTATCGTGGGTTCGAGTTGTGGGCTAAGCGTTTAGGTGTGGGTTCTGGTCTGCGTCTCGTGGTCTGCATAGTGGTTGGCGAGAGACACCTGAAGGTTGCGACGAAAAGAAGGGCTCTTTGCTTCATCATTCAATCTTTTATGTTTTTTTATTATTTCATGCTATATTGTATTTTATAAGATTATGCTACATTATATTATGGTATAGTAGAGTATAGCTGCCGCTTCAGGAGCTTTCTGAGCGGTTGGATGCTCATCATGCGCAGTCGAAGAAGTGGGTGGAGGCCGGCTTGGTAATTATCCCACTTGTGCAAAATCATATTCTTTCGTGTGACTGAGAATTGAATGTTCTGTAACTGCCGGTGTTTTGCGCTTCTGACGAGCATAAGATATGGAAACCCGCACTAACCGTAGCGCAGGCTTGCCAATCATGGAGCACTTGCGTGTCTCCTGTGTAAGTGTCGCTGCTGCGCGTCGTGACAGTTCAGATGCCCGCCTCCATGCCATATTAGCGTTGAGCCCAATGTTGCAGGAGTTGCGAAGTGAAGCTTCCAAGGAGAAGCAGAAGTTGTCGTGGCTGATCCAGGAGATTAGATTCTACGTTGTCGAGGGATCCAAAAAAAGCTCAATCTTCAGTCAATGTGCTGCAAAGGCTTCAATCTGTGAGGCTTCCACTCTCTATTCTCGATGTTCGATGCTCTCTCCTCATGGCAATGTTGTTGTCGATCCAGACGAGGTTCCTCAGTGATCATGATCTCTGCATGTTTCAATCTTCTCTTTAGTCGGCGTGTCAAAGTTGCGATGCTACTTGTTGGACGCGTTGGCGCTATGGCCAGCATGCACCGGGTACCATGTGGTAGTTGGGCCTTTCTATTGTACTCTGCTTGTGCTGACCTGCTGTTGAGATGTCATGTGCGACTGTCAAAACTACAGATTACTACTATTGTTATTGTTAATCCGGCTATGTATCTGTATATATATATATAGACTTTTTGTATTAAGTATTTCCATTATTGTTATTGGTATCACAGTACTATAGTATGATGATAAATACTACTATTGTCACTACTGTTAGTTATATGGGGGTTCAGATGAACCCCTAAGCCCTCTAAACCCCATTTACCACTCAGCCCTAGCAAGGGACCCACTCTTCTTTGCAGTTTTCTCCTCTTGCAGGAGATGGGGCGCCAGAAGCAGGAACCGAGAGCACCCGGAGAGAGGGCTCTTGCGGAAGCCGCGCGGAGAGAGGTTGGGCGCCCCAGCCTCTTGAGGAGATGGGGTTCATTACTATTGTTGTTATTGTTATTGTTCTTATTCTTACTCTTGTTCTTCGTATTAGTATTGTATTATTATGACGAGAATGCTTCGTAGTATTATAATATCATTATGCTTGTGATTATGCTTATTATGATTATTTTGATGATCATCATCAGACTATTCTTCATATTTTGACTGTTACGATAATTGCTATTATTGCTCCTATTGAGTACTTGGACCCCAGGCACATTCGTAGACTGGGCTCTTTGGGTTTCGGAGCTCGAGCCAGTCCTTGTGGATCAGAGAGTAATACTATTAGTGCATTGTGCCGGGAATTTAGAATTATTTGATGGAGCCATCTTCGAAATCTTGGTCAGCGGGGGAGCAAGGTTGCCAAGCAATCTTGGTCATCTTGCCCCACTTGCTTTCTGACTAGTTTACCTTGTTGGAGACCAAGATTGCAAGATTGCTTGGCAATCTTGCTCCCCAACCTGGCAATCTTGGTCTAAAAGGCAAACTAGTCGGCGAGACCAAGATTGCAAGATTGCTTCGCAATCTTGCTCCAAAAAATGCTCTAAATTCCGGGAACACTGTAATAGTAGTAGTATAATGATAATAGTAATGGTACTTTAGACATACATATCGTCGTCGTAGTCGTAGTAGTAGTAGTAGTAGTCGTCGTCGTCGTCGTCGTAGTCGTTGTCGTCGTAGTAGTCGTAGTCGTGGTAGTAGTAGTAGCACTACAGTAGTAGTACTAGTAGCAATAGTAATACTTCTAAGAATATATTTAAATTCCATATAGTAGCAATGTAGTCGCAATAGCAATAGGCAATAGTTCAGCAGTAACACTACAGAGCTCACGGCAGCAAAGTGCACGAAAGGTCAGACTGCGCGAGTCGCCTGCCCTAGAGCCGCCGGCAGCAGCTGCGTCACAAGAGGCTGTTAAGTTGCGATCGTTTCCGGTAGGGCTTTGTGTTGGATCTGAAAGCCAGGCATGTGGGCAATAACATCAGTAGCATGGGTGCACATGGATTGGCTGAACTACGTCCCGACCAGGAAGTAGTCTGTCAGCACGTGTACGCAGGCAGCCGCGGTTTCCAAGCCTCCGACGAGCCCATGGCACGCAGGTTCTAGGTGTGTTCCTGAGGGGCGGGGTCCTGTGCATGACCACGGGCATTTTTCTTGGTCGTCCTGAGGTGCATCGTAAATCGTAGCAAAGCTTGTTCCAGTCTATCCAGCCTGGACCAGTATCAGGCCTGAGAACTTGGAGAAGAAGGCTCACCCGGCGGAAGAGGAGGCCCACGGCACTCACAAGTAAGGCTTTGCCTCGTTCCGACCCAAACCCAGGGCCGCATGGTTCTTCTGTGTGCTTCGGGTTTCCATGGCTTTCCACATCTGATCGTAGGCCAAGGGACATGATGAAAGTATCGATCAGGCCGTGATTCCCACGCCCTCGCCTTCGAGCCTATCGCCAGCCGAAGCGTCCAGGCGTCTTCTTGAGGGACAGGAAGGGAAGGGACAGGATCAGTTGCGTGGGTCGCCATGTTCACTTCTCTTCGGATAGCAAAGCCCTGCATCTCCCTAAACAACGCCTCACAGCCAGGCCCCAGACCCCGTCGGCGGAGCACGCCGATCGAGCTGCCGAGGAGGCCACATGCGGTGTCCAAAGTGGGGGCATGCTTGATGAAGGCTTCAAGGCTCTCTACACAAAGAAGACCTGTAAGCTTGTCTCAAATGGCATAGAAACAACAACTTGCTGGTGCCTCTTCGCCCAAACTTTGGGTTAGACTCAAAGCACGGATTCGTCGCTCGAGATCCCTGGCCGTCACAGCCCCACAATCCAGCCCCTGTAGAGAGTGGATTACAACAAATCAGCAGGTGACTCCTCCGGGTGCTGTGCACGAGTGTGTGAGCTTGCGGTAGCAAAGTGCACGGAGGCGCCACATCAGTTGCCTGATGTAGAGCCGCCGACAGCAGCTGCGTCACGGGAGGCTGGTGAATTTCCGGCGGGACTGATGTATATGATTGTATATGGGATAAGAAAGCCAAGTATGTTGGCAGGAGCACCAGTAGCATGATTGCACATGAACGCCCTGAATTCCTCACTGAATACAATGCCTTCGCAAACGCAGGCAGCCGCGGTTTCCAAGCCTCCGACGAGCCCATGGCACGCAGGTTCTAGGTGTGTTCCTGAGGGGCGGGGTCCTGTGCATGACCACAGGCATTTTTCTTGGTCGTCCTGAGGTGCATCGTAAATCGTAGCAAAGCTTGTTCCAGTCTATCCAGCCTGGACCAGTATCAGGCCTGAGAACTTGGAGAAGAAGGCTGACTCTGGGGAAGAGGAGGCCCACGGCACTCACAAGTAAGGCTTTGCCTCGTTCCGGCCCAGACACAGGGCCGCATGGTTCTTCTGTGTGCTTCGGGTTTCCATGGCTTTCCACATCTGATCGTATGCCAAGGGACATGATGAAAGTATCGA